TGACCTACGCAAAATAAACGAACAAAACGCGAAGTGACGCAAGGTGGAGCTCGCCGCGGTGGCGGTGCACCGGCGCGGCGCAGTTTGTCCTCGATGTTGCACCGGCATCGCGCTGCACGACCGAGGAGCGCTGTGCACTGTGCTGGTTTCAGGGCGATTCCGGTGCGAGTTGATCGAAGATGCTATAAGTCACATTATCACAAGGTCCAACACACACTACAAAGTAAGCAGCTTTGCAAAAGTTGCACTCTTAGAAAAAAGGGTATGGATAGTCCTCCCTTAGGGGAGGAACGGTCTTGTAAATGATGTTCTTTAGAAAGGGAGAAACTTTCGTCCCTGAAGCAGGGAAGCAAAGTTCCTCCGTCGCTTGCATCTCAATATGGCAGCCCCGAATCGAGCAAATCGAGCCCAATAAAGCTTGACGAGGACGCTACGTCTCTTGTACGGGACGAAAGGAGCAGCAAATAAAAGCGTAACAGGAGCTTTCCGCGAACTGTGTTTATTTCTGAAGCCAGATTCCCCCCCACAGGTACAGAAACTTGCGTTTCGAAAGCAGTTATTCAGTCTTCTCGTCGACAGCACTGCGATGTTAAACAAAGACAACCGATACCCAGTTACTTCGCGCACTTTGCGTCTTACCTTTGGTGATCCTCGAAACTCAATTCCTTCGTCAACCGCACATTACGGAGAATGGCAAACTCAAACCGTGAAACCAAAAGCCGCCCTCGAAAGAACAAACTCGAAGCCGCTGTTTATCGCGTAGCGTGAAAGAAGGTTAAATCGCTAGCCACCAGATGGCAGGGTCAAGCAGAGTAATTGCAAGTAGCTAGGCTAGGTGGCGCTAAGTACCGCTCAATTCATGTTCTACACGAAATAATTTGATTTCCTCAGGCCACTATTGCGCTTGGGGATCCTCTACTATCAGACATTACGCATAGTACAAGCATCAGGTGAACATACATTGAGCACATACACGGCACACACAAATGTCAATACAACGGCACACCACACCAACCCGAACACTACACCCGTGCTCTGCGTTTCCGTCTTGTATACTGGTCGTTTTGAACGGACGGAATTTCTCGGTGACTGAATAAGCAATAAAAAATATTCCCAGCATGTTGATTTTTTTTTTTCAGCAATGTCATGCCTCTGAGAGTATTTTGAATGGCTCAGGGGATGAATCTCTTCATAAAAAGCAAACAATCGATCATGCCGTAATTATTTGAAAGCCAATAAATCAAGCCGCTCCAATGCGGTTCGAAGCCATGAGTTTGTTTCCCCGCACGGCACGTCGTAGCCTGTATTTCTATTGTAGTGTTTGTTTCTCCTATTTGTGCTGTTCGCGCAAAGCTGCAATTGCCGTCTTGAATTTATCTCTGTAGAGCGGATATTCACCCAGCTGGAAGTGATGCTTCTCGGGCTGAGAAATCGCTTTTCGATCAACTTGAATGCAGTCAAAAGCTACGCCGTGGCGAGCCCGAAAACTTCTAGTGCTCATCCCAGCGCGCCACTTTGAGGGCAGTTTCTCCAGGAACCGTAGTATGTTTAAACAGCAAAATAAAGGGTAGCTTTTTTTTAAATTTTAGCTACTATTGTTTTTTAATGCTACAATTCCACACTGTAAATATACGTACTTTCCGTCACGGTTTCGCACTGTTGTCCTTGCCCCAGAGCGCAATCGCTCTCGGAGACGAGACAACCGACAGTCACATTGGCTACTGTACGATAGGAGCTTACTGTTCAGACCAGTGTTCCAACATGACTATCCGCACGTCGATCGATTGCATCAACTCCCTCAAGTGGTCTTAAACTTTTTAATGTAAAGCGGAATGTCAAACTGCGACACCCCGCCCCCTCCGAGCAGGGCCCGACCAGCGGCTTCAATGCCCGACAGTTTACGATCTCATCTTGTTACACCACTGATACGCGAACACACGGTCACATCGGCGATAATTCCAGTCTTCTGTTCACAACCCACAACACTGCCATCACGATGTTGCTGCTATGTTGCTGAGACGCACAAATACAGAACCACGTTGAACGCCGGTTTCACTCGGCATCCAGGGGTGGAACTCATGAAATGTATTTGGGAGCAGCCACGGGAGCAGCTGAAACCGCTGTTTTGGAGCAGGTTGGGAGCAGCTAAAACTACATTCTGGAGCAGGCTAGGAGCAGCTCAGATCAGTTTTCACTGCACTTCAGCTTGTGTCTTAGACGAGCACGGGAGCAATTTCAATTGTGCTTAGCAGCACAGATGAACATGAGTGGTTAGGGACCTAGGTAATGGGATAACAGTGTAACAGATGCCAAAACTTGAAACTTTGTAAGCCTTAATGAGAATCAAAAAGCAAGTACCATATGTTTCTGAAGATGGTGTCCTTGATATTTTCTGAGTGGCTTTCAGCTGCTCAAAATGCAAATCAGCACTGCTTATCGCACAACCCCCACGTGCTGGACATAGTAATTATATGTGCGAACCACGTGACGTACGTAAGCAACGGACGTGCAGTTGCGTGGGGGAACAGGGCAACGAATTTCGAGTTTATCCCATTGTGCAACTCAATATCGAAGCAGCAGACTACAATTAACGGAGTTATCGTATTCAAAGCGATTAGCAGGAGCAAGGTTAAAGTACGCCGAGCAGATCTACCGCTCGCGTGACAGCAGCTGGCAGGCAAGGTTTCGGATCGGACCGCGTTTCAGTTCTATCAAATCGCAATTATCTTGCGGGAATGCGGTTTCAACTTCTAACGATGAAGTACTAAAAGGAGTATTTTGCTCATTTGTTTTCGATTGGCTGACGTCCGGATCCCGGGCTGCAGAGCCTCAGGCAATCTGACGCTGAACGACTCGACCTCACCTCGGCCGACTTGCTTAACAGCTCATGGTTGAAGAATAACAGTCCAGTCGCAGGTGTAGCGATTCGAATCCGATCCCCGAGTTTTTTCGCGCGCTTCCGATTCGGGATACACAGGGAGAATAAACAGAACAAAGGATTGCAAGGCCGACCAAGCTAAACGGGCTAATTGTTGCCAATCGAGTCAATAGGAACCGAAACCAAGACAAAATACTTTTTTTGTTTTTGGCGCACGTTGTGCGATTTGGTGCATAATGGCGCAAGGTATTGGCTGTGGCGCAGTTTCCGTGAAATGGCGCAGGATGGCGCAGACAAATGCGTCTGGCGCAAAATGGCGCAAATGGCGCAGCCGTTCCACCCCTGGCCGCATCGGAAAACAGAACCGAACTCAGCACGGAAGGCACCCAGGCAGCCGGCAGCAAAACCTGCCTGTCTTGGACGCAGTTCCTGCGATTATCATAACGTCGAATACGTCGACACAGTTCCGCGTGGTTTCGCTACTGCAGTGACTGCTGGTCCGTGCCGCGCGAGTCCCGCAATCCGGAGACGGCTATCTTACCCAGTGTACGTGGCGCTGCTGCTACTGCTCCGGAACTTCGCTGTTTCTAGCGGCTTCGTTTGCTCGTTTGATAAAATTAGTGATAAAAACGTCAATGCAACCGAAATTTCCTGCACGTTTAGAATAGAAGACGGAATTACAGGCTGCCTTCGCTACCGCTGAACCTCAATCAACTCAACATTAATTTATTAAACAACGTGCGCGACCTGCTCGACAAACGAAACCGAAAGAAGTTGAGTCGGGAAGGCGAAAGCTTTCTCCCGTCTGCCTGGAGAAGGAGAAAAAAGTTTCGTTCCTCCACTTTTCTCGTGTCCGCTTGGGGGCGCGTCAGTAGAAGGGAGGAAGACGCGCCGTTGCTACTTTTTTCCTCCATTTTTTCTTAGAGTGTACTACACATGGTATGCTCCAGCCATCACTGTCGCGGGGCAGGCGCGGAGCAGGCCTGGCGACAAGCTCGATTTTTTGGTCCCTAAAAAAACGTAAACATGAGGGACGCAATTCCACGTGCCATTGCCTGTGGCGGTACCGTAATTTTCGTCGTGTACCACAGTTTCGCACAAATGACCGATTTTATTAAAAACGCTTTGTCGCCGAAAAAGAGTTCAAACTATTGAGTTTATTTCCACTTGTTGCCTTGCGTGCTCAAAAACGTCATCCCATGTACGAGGCCTATACTTCCTCTTTCAAAAAAAGGACTCTTAGTAATCTCACCACTCGTACAAAGAGACTGACGCCAAGAGAAGCATCAGGGCATTTGCCAAACTGGAGTGCCTAGCTTTTTTTCTTGGTCTAGCTGGGCTCCGGAGGGTGCTGCGTAGCCAGCAAAGATACTTTTAAAAAGCGGTCAGTGTCGCGTAAAAACAGCGGCACGTCATCCGCATACGGCTCAAACGGGATGTACATATAGCTCACCGCATCCAAACAATCAAGCTCTGCTTGTTATACGAATAATATAAACAATAAAAAAATGAAAGCAGTTTACAATCCCCTGTAACGGCGAACTCTTGAGGAGGAGGAGGGGAGGGTACAGAGAGGAAAGTATGCCCGTCCTCCAGGCAAAAAAGAAAAACATTTCCGCTTGATTTAATACGGAAATTTTTCCGCAAAATTTAGCGAGTAAATTTTTTATTTTGACCTAATATACTATTTTTGTAAAACTGGGTGACGTTGCATTGAACACCCTTAATTTTTTAAGGCTTAAAGAGGAGTGTGCTGGAAAAAGGATGCTGCAGTGAGGTGAGGTGAATACCCAGTTTTAAAGGTTTCCGCCGTACTAACACCGACTTTAGCTGAGGTTGTTTTAGCGGCAATCCAAAAGAAATATTCCCCTAGCAATGCTTTTTACTTCAATATACATACCTTGAACGTGTCGCGTGCAAAGCTACTCCTTAAACTGGTCGCCACGTTCCATGAGAAGCACGCATGTCCCGGTAACCCGCGGCATATGCAGACGTAAGCTCCCATAGCATAACGCAACGTAAGGAAACGGTACTGTTCGAACAGACCTTTGCACTTTCTGCACTTTCTGCGTGGACGGCTGGCGTGCGCCTGTGAGGCGCGAACAGCACAACGTTAGGTTCACTACAACGGTAACTTACCGATACCATTGAAGCCCAAGGCGCTCAGGATGCACATCACGGAGGCTGTCGTCCCTGATGGAGCGGCCTCTTTGGCGAACACCGTGATGGAGGACACCGCCAGAGAAAAGGCGGCACCATTGGGGATGGCTGTCAGCAGCATGAACCACGGGTTACGAACAAACGTGCAACCAACGTACGACACCGCGTACGATGCAAATGCTAGTGAACACGCCGAGAAACAACCGGTTCGTTTCAGAATCGGCTCCGAGAAAAACAGCAAGGGAACTTCCACCAAAGTGCTCACAAAAGTGTATAGCCCAATGATGAGCTTTGATGCTTCCATGTCTTCTAAGAACCAAGTGGTGTAGGATTGCGTGATAATGAACAATGTTCCAAGAAGACACGCCCAAGGGACGAACATGGCCACATCAAGGCGACTGAGAACCGCCCTGACGTCCCTAAAGAAAGTAGCTGTTACCTTTTCCATTGTCCATCGCGGGATGCAGCAGAGTAGAAACATGTCTAGCAGCAATAACACAGAAAATAGAATGAAACATGGAAAGTATCCGGAGCGTCCTTTCGTCAACTTGTTCGCTTCGTCAATGAAGAATCCCAGAAAAGCGCTACAGAGTCCATAGCTCACGGCGCCCCAAAGCCTCTGCTGTCCAAAAGACTTGGCGTTATCGCCCAAGAACTCACAGGTCACAGCATCCGATATAACGGACACTGTCACAGAAAGCACTGACGCTATGACCACGAACACCACGTAAAGGTAGAACGCGAGCAACCTGGGCGAGCGTTCCTGGCATGAACAGTTCAATTCGCAGCTTTCCTCGTCTTCGCCGGCCGTCCGATTCAACAGAATCTTGCAGATGTCGGTGGCATTGTTGCCGAGGACAAATTCCATCTGGATGTCAGATGAGGTGGCATCTGGCAGGCTTCGCCAGCAAGAGATGTTCCACATCAGTGACTGAACTGCGCAACTCGAAGCCGCGTTCTGAAGTGTCACTCTTCCTTGAGGGCATGACAGATGTCCTCTCAGATCCGTATCTCCTGTCCGGATGTATTGGCTTGAAAACACAACTCCGAACGATACAAGAGTGATTGTTTGCAAAGTTAACAATACTGCTGTGACATTTTGTGTTCGGTCGATGATGAAGCCGCAGATTGGCTTGAAGAGTACGGTAACCAGAGGTATGAAAGTAAATATGTAGGCTATGGTGGTCTCAGCAATGCCATTTTCACGACCCACAGCTGTTGAGTAGGGTTGCACGCAAGCAATCGCTGCATTCAGAAAGAGAAACGAAGTTCTAATTTAGTGCCATTTAATGCGCGTTAGTGTTTAGATTGTGCATTAAGGATGCAACGACAGTGTTTTTAACCTGTATATGCGAAAAAACGAAAAAAAAAAACTCAAAGAAAAAGAAAAAACAAAAACAAACACAACAGCCGAATGCATCAATAATGTAGACGCTACTCACCGGCAATGTAGAAAAAGTGGTGGACTTTTATCGGCAGAAGACGCCTGCTCACTGAAGCCGGGAAGAACTTCATTATTTTTCTTTGTACGGGACAGGATACGTTCTCCTGAGGTTCGGCCGAAGAAAATTTCAATTAAACTTACTTTCCCCCAAAAAACAAATCTAAATGGAACTAAAAAGGCTAGGAAGGCGAGTTGGTGCATGAGCTATAAAATTAAAGGCGTTCGTCCTGTTTGCCTTTCTCATTGTTCTTGTCTACTGTTAGCAGCTTTGACTTCACAGCTAAACGGAACAAAACTAGGGCTTGACAAAGCCCTTTACCTTTTTTTTTAATTATTTTTTGATTGGGTGACCAAATGGCAAAACGTGCTCGTAAAAAGGTCGAATAGAAATCGTTAGCATTTATGTCTACACTTAAAAAACACCAACTTGCCACAACAGCAACAAAAAAACACTATATATACTTTTTGTTGTTGTTGGCACTAAAGAATAACACGTTCATGGTCAAGCGGTTCGTGAACAAAATAAAATGGCCAAGTTTGTTGTGTCCGCGGACGAAGAATCGATGCTTCTGGCGCTGGTGGCAGAACAGGTTATCCCTATAAACAGTGGCGTAAGCAGAGGGGGAATTCGGGGGTTCGAACCCCCCCTCCCTCCTCACGGTGCCCGCTCGCTCCCCTGGTCACGCAGTCGGTTTTGCACGACGGGGGAGCGCGGACCATCTCCAACTTAAATTCTTTCGGGAAAACTGTTTGTGGGGTAGAAAATGCTGAAAATAATAAAATATGCAATATTGCTGCATTCATGTTTATTCGATGGGATGTGCTTGATCTCAGATATATAGAGAACGGATATTTCGAATTATTTGTGGGGTGAATATGGATATTTTAAGGCAAAAGTATAGCAAACTATTTTTGACTGAAATACACAGTTCAATCAAACCACAGTGAATGTAATAAAACGAACACACGGTGATAAACTGTAATAAGATGTAATAAAACGAACACACGCTTGGCGGTACCGAGGTGGCAGGATCACTGAATTCGTTTTTGTCCTTCATTCAGGCGCTGCTGCTGTCCTGTCCGGCACAAACACAAGTTGAAGTGGGAAGTCCTACGGTGCTACCGGACATTGTCTGCATCGACGGCGCGAACGCGCCTTCGATGCAGAGTGAGACGTTCCCTTTTGCGCTGCGAGATTCCGAAACCAGGACTTCGACATGGCAAGCCACAGGATCATCCACAACGACAGAGGGGGCGGTTTCCACGCCGCTGAATTTTCCACCGTGTCGGCAGTGGGCTTGGCGGCACCGAGATGGCAGGATCGCTGAATCCGTTTTTGCTCTTTATTCAGGTTGGTGAAGAGAGTCTTTAAGCTTCTGCTAAAGACGATTTCTCGGTTTGCTAGTGCTGCCAGGCCCACAATTCCTGTGTGTCATTATCGGTGAATGTTTTGTTGTTAGAGCACATTTGTTACTAAGCTGTGACAACAGTGAAGCTAATCCCGGTTCCGACACAGTCATTCTTCAAGAAATTCTTTTTGAATTGAAAGGGATAAATACAGACATAAGTGAGCTTAAGGAGAAAGTTGGTAATGTTGAAAAAGCTGTGTCCACACTTCCGGAACTGACAAAAAGGATCAGAGACAACGAAAATGAAATAGCAAGCTTACGTCAATGTGTAGACAGCTTAATAAAAAACGTTAATGATATAGCAAACCGCAGCACGAGCAATAACTTGGTTGTAAAAGGCATTAAAGAAACAACAAATGAAACGGAAGAAAAACTGAAAGATGTGCTCGGCGATATCTTTCATTGAGATAAATTGCAAGTTACGGTCACGAGCGTGGAACGTATCCACAGAATTGGAAGGCCTTCTTCAGATAGGCCAAAACCAATCATCGTGCGCCTTGCAAACGTTAACGAAAAGAGAACAGTATTGCGCAACGCCAAGGAGTTGAAAGGGACCGACAAGAGTGTGACATACAAAGCCGCGTTTTTTAGAGGAGCAGTTCGGTTATTTCTTAGTGCCTGCGACCACTTCCAGACAACCCCACGAGCGGGTCCTGATCTTCGCTGAATGACTTAAGCGCAGGACGTGGAGGAGGGTGTGAAGGAGGGATTGAAGAAGCCCCTTCGGGGATATTCGATGACCAAGTCATCGCACCGACACCTCAAATAGCCTCCTCCTACCCCCACCCCCTTCCCTCCCCCTTTAATGTTTTCCTTTGGAGGATGAAACACGAAGGATCTAACGAGAACGGACCAAATGCGGCGGGCCCCGCCGAGAGGGACGTTTTGAGAATGATCTTTTTGAGAAGGTACAAAAGACAAGGTCGGAACAAGAACAGGCTCAAACGATAACCAGCCCCATTGGTAACCTCGTCACAATAGGTGATGGCACATCATGAAAGTGCTCCCACATACGCGTCAGATAATATGTTTTAGTTACATTGTCTACGATATTTAACCTCCCCAACTGGCCGCGAAAGAGCACATTAGAATCACCGACAGTTTAAAGAATGCGGGACGGTTCCAAGCATCTCATAATCGCACTGCAACCGATCATAGTGCCCCATCAGCAGATAGGAACACCGAAGAACCAATCACAAAGTCAGGTTAGTGAATTAACATAATAAGCCATGCCTCGCACTTCTTGAGGCCCTGTCACAGTGAGGCGACCGTTGGACAACTCTACCCGACAACACAAAGAAATCGTGTTGCCGGTGACCTTGTCACATCGCGGCAACAACAACAGTCGGGCAACAGGTTACTGCCGCCCGGCAACAGTGTTGGCCGATTTGTTTTCCGACCACCCAGTCACACCGCGCTGACGACGGGGACAACACGGGGAACACTCCGCCATCTTGATTGTTTACCTTCTTTCGTGCGCGGCGCGGCGTCGCTGGAAATGTGATTCTACAGAGTATACTATTGCGTTCGAAGGGACGGAAATTACCACGGGACGACATCAATCAGTGACTGTGATTAGAAAAAGTGACACCAGAAGTATTTTCTTCCCTTTATTTTATCAAATTGTTCTTTCAAATTGTTCTTTCCTCCGCAATTTTATCAAATTGCGGAGGAAAGTGAGATCACTGATTTAAGTTTGGGATTTACGCCACCGTATGAAGTGTTTGATTTTACGGTTCTTTTTTCCATGTAATTCCTATTTCTTCTGTAAAATTGAGTTAGCACCGGTACCACCCCAAAGCGTCTTTTGTAGCGTGGTGTTGTTGAGCTGAATTGACAGTGGTTAAAAACTGCAACATTGACACGATCGGCCTTCATAAGAATCGGTGGAATAAATATTTTTCAACGATGTTAATTTGCTTACCGAATGCTATGTGATCGCTTCATTTCCTAAAAAGTCCTGGGCATTTTTTGAAACAAATCAGGTGTCTGGTAGCGGCTGTTTCTATAAGTTTCATGCAGGCATCACAATCATGATCAGAGTGGTCGTTTTAATGCTTCGATTTTTTATTCTTTGCTTTCTGGATTTTCTTATTATACTCCATCAGCGGGCGAGTAGGCATGTCATTTTATTTCACTAGCAGTAATGTGAGCTGGCCTCTCGGCAGTTCTAATTTCAACATCAGTCTGAACGTTCACTACCGTATACTGCGACTATTTCGGCAATTGCATTCCGTAATTACGGAGTAGAAACATTCATCAAATTATTTTAGCTGCACACTCACCTTAATGATTGTTAAATAACCTTTTCCCAGCCTTCATTTGAGTAAGACGTTATTGATAGGCCACTAGCTCTGCCATCGACGCTATGTGTGTTGTCGTGCTGCCGGCCTGAAATTCGCTCAGCCAGCGACCAGGGCAACACACGTTGTCCAACACAGGTGGCTGCTGTTTTTGTTGCCGAAAGCTGTCATACCGAGGCAATATTTTTGTTGTCGTCCATGTTGTACTCTTTTCCCGCAATGTGACAGGTTTGTCGCCCAACACGGGGAGTGAGCAAAAAGTTGCCCGACTGTTGGGCAACCTGTTGTGTTGCTGTTGCCATCGTGTTGCCTCAGTGTGACAGGCCTGTAGGCCGCCAGTGACTAAACCAGCATACTGTGCGGAATGTTGCCCGGGACACATTAAAAACGCTTATTTTGTTTTGTCGGGGGACACAATTTGTTGTTTGTCGAATTAGTGACCTAACATACCATCTGTGCGACTCATTATTAAGAGCAAATCCAAAGCAAGTAATGCAAATAAACTATTAAAAAAAGTAAAGCGTTATACAACGCTTTAAACAGAGACAAGCAGCAAAAAAAAAAAAAAAAAAAAAAGCAAGCTTTGCAGTTGCATTTGTGGTTAGCATTCTTTTCGGCTGAAAATCACACGAAATGTTCTACATGCCAAAACCGTCGCACGGTTCTATTTTTTTAAGGAATGAGCGAGTGTATAGCATATCAACGGCAAATATTGTTTGTTAAAATCATATTAGCGATCTTTGTTCAATAAATACCTACGGGGAGTTTGAATATTTTTTATTAAGTTCAAAGATGCTCTGGAAACACATTCCCATGTCCCGATATTTCGTGTGATTCCACGTTGTTCTTTCTTCGCCCTCTTGAGCCACCCATTTTATCACAGCGCTTAACTCGTAGAACAGAAGTTACAGCCCAGCTTTAAGAAGAGGAATTAAAATAGATGGGTTAGCTATACCACGCGCATCCGTCGCAACGTTAAGACAGCATCGGGGGGTGTTAACCAATTGTTTCTACAGTATCGCTCTTGGCAAACACTTCAGCTTGGGTGCAGGGACAACACGAGCTCCCGACTGATACCGATATCGGCCCATATGAAAACACGATTCGCTAACATTCCCAATGTCGTTACACCCTCCAAATGTTTTTTTTTTCTAGTTGAAAAAGGCGTTATAGTCACTGCAAACTTAAGAAACGCAGGGTGTGGCTTTCTAGCATCACGCTTCGGACTTTGTGATTGGTTCTTAGGGGCTCTTATTTGTCACAATCTCGTTGGCAATGGAGTCGGTATGAGATGCTTGTGGCTTCCCTGCGTTTCTTGAGCTGTCGGTGACTCTATACTAGTGTTATGAATGCAGATAT